AGTGTCACTATTCTCAGAACAGGACCAGCAGAAAAGCTCAAGAGGCTGTGCAGTTTGCAGTCCAGCACACTTATATAAACTAGAGTGGATTTCAACTTACTTTTTAGCATCAGTGGTGATTTAAGCAATGAGTTCTGCTCTATGGTTAGTAGGTCAACATTTGTGGTTTCTATTTAATTTGCCAGAATTTCCTTTCTTTTGTTTTCTGTTTTCCTTTTTTAGACATGACTTCTTTTACCTCTAATACCATCCTTTTCCTTACTGCAACTGCTGAAAGCTTTTTTGTTTATTTTAAAGTCTTCTGTAGCAGTATAAATATACTCTGAGCCTCTAATTATGGTATTTTGTTCTATGCCACCTGCAAGCATTTTACCTTTTTAGCTGCACAGTTCCTCATTTCTTCAAGTTCCTCATTTTGTGTAGTTTCCCTTTTTAAAACTTAATGCTATGTGATGGCCTTTTGGCTTTTTCTCTTCTCGAAAGATACTGAATTTGCACAAGAGTTGTTGTAGGTAGCTTGTTTGTTGTTCATGGAGTCAGCAATCAAAGTTCCCCCTCTCTCCTGCATCTTCTAAACAGTTGCTCAAAAAACCCAGATTTTTGTGATGTCTTGAAAAGTAATCTCAGCATCACAGCTCAATACAACTTTCACAATGTGACTAAGGGCAACCCCAGTCTCTCACTATTACCTCGTTTCTTCTCCATGCAGATTTGGGGGAGATGAATTTCTTGTGGTTAATATGTGGATTCAGCAAATTAGGTGATTTTAGTTTAATCCATACCTCCACCACTCACCCACCCTCTTGCAATAATACTTGCTTAATCCTGTAAAAGTCTTTCAAAAATTTACACTAGTGAGGACACTGATGAGACTGAGCGGCCTTTGATTGGATATAATATACATGTTTTGTTGCTTCTTTTTGTCCAAGTAAAATGGTTCAATAAAACAGCAATGAATGAAAAATTATTTTATCCACTAAATTCTCCAAATACAGCCTGATAATGTAAGTGACTATCTGAATTTTGTATTTGTTTATAACAGGTTAATCACAGTGGCTGGAAGTCTTTTTATGTTGATGATGTTTGGTGGTAAAATTTTGAATTTGAATGAGAAATAATATTTTTATTAGCTTTTTTTCATGTTGAGTAATACAAATGTGAAATGTTTTCATATATACTACAGTATCTAAGTTTTCCTATGCATCTTATGTTCACATGTGTGGTGAACTGACTAGATGATGAGGTTTGGTAATAGAACATAGAAAAGCTTTCAGCAGGGCCTGGTTACTCAGCTTACGTATATCAATTTAGTAACATCAGTTCCACACTGCTGTGATAATTTACACCAGCTGAGGTTCTGGGCACTGATCCTTTTATTGTGTCTTGACTTTTCTAGCACGTAGGTTAAGCAACATTTGATAACCATATGTTTAGTATATTGTGCCAGTAGAATGGGACTTAAGAAGGTGGAGTGTGGGAAGAGTGGGAATTGCAAACGTGTATTGTTAGGTTTTATTGACTTCAGAATGTGGCATAAATACAATGTCAGCTTCTCTATAAAACAAGGCCCCCATGTGGAGTCAAAATATACAGTGAGATCCTGTAAAATAGTAGTAAAGAAGTCTTAAAATTATGTGGATTTTATTATATTTTCTTTTAAGATTATATCTCAAAATTTAGCAATCTCAAAGTAAACTCTTAAAAATGCAAAGCCAGTAGTTAAATGCACATTTAATGTGTCAGACATCTGAAGCATGTTTGAGTCTTTTTATTTTTCTTCAGCATCCATGAGCAGGCAGAAATCTTTTCACCATTTATACAGAAGGGAAGACAGAAAAGCTTCTCTTAGGAACTCACCCTTTTGTGCTAGTGTGATTGAAGGGAGCCGTAAAATAGTTACTGCTGATTATGCAAGAACTACCTAGTTGAGTGAGTATTCGGAGAATTTCAGCTTCCTTTGGATATTTTGGTGATTAGTGTACATCCTCTTAGGAAATCTGCAGGGAATGAGTGTAAATGATGGTCATCGGGGCAGAAAGCAACTAGAGAAACAAATGTGGATGGAGAGCAGAGAGCATTCCAGTGAAAAACTCAACTGTGTAAAAAGTATTGGACATCTGATTGTGTCAGTCTGTTTTCATGTAGCTGTTTCATTTGTTGCATGTAAAAAATCATTCTTTTTAAAAGTCTAAATAAAGGACTTGTTTTTAGAACTGAATAACTTTTTCTGAGTTAAAGGGGGGAGAAGTTATAGTAAATTGGAAAATATTTGTGTCTGTAAACTTCTTTCTGGAAGTTTCAAAGTTCATAGAGCCTGCTTGCAAAACTTTGGGGTTTAGCAAACTCCATTGTGGTGTGAAGTTTAAATGAGGAAATATAGTAACACACCACAAAGCGTCCCTTGGGTTATGGAAAATCACTTCTGTGCTACTTCTGGTTTAGTTATTTATTATTTGTAAGCCAATTAGTGTTATTTTTCTGGATTTGTATTAGTCACAAGTCATCCAGCAAATCTTTTTTTTTTCCTCTGTAGAAGGTATGAATGAAATAGCTACTACTTATGTGAATATAAGCAGTTGTACTCTCCTGCTGGTATCAAAACTTCTCATTTTAAAAGCCACTGCCTAACAAACACTTTAATTTCAGCATTCATCTAGGGCCTATTAATGCAGATACTCCGAACAATTCTGTAGGTGTGGAAAATGATGATAGCACATCACTGATTTAGTTACATTTTGGTTGCACAACTAGAAATAGAAAAAAATCCAAAACATTTTAATCAACACTGGTAATCCAGATAAATAATTTATCTGCAGGATTTGTTTCACTAAATCTGTTTTACTGCTGAAATAGACATTCTGTCTTGGCATCTGCAGTGACTGAAATATAGCTTAAAGGCATTGTATTTTTCTTGGCTAGAGACTACCTTGGTAACCTGTGATGTATTTCCCACAAACACATAGGACTCAGTGCTAGTCTGCTTACTGCCATCATTTCTGTGTGCACGTGTTTCTAGTTTTAAACTCAAGTACTGTCCTTACAATGTAATGACCTTTCTTCATATGGTATAGCCTTAATTCAAGAGGCTGTGAAAAGATAATTGCAGACAGACTTCAGTGAGTTCTAGGGGCTGATGGCAATAGTCTTCCAGTAGAGGGGGTGTGGTGGACATCCTCTGGGTTGTGGGTCTGAAACATCTCAAATTACCCAGCCATATTTGTCAGCTTAACACCACCAGGCTGCTCTATCCTCTAGCTGCACTGACACCTTGCTTTGTTATCCTTCTGAGCAGCTTTTACTTCCTCCCCTTATGTGACAGTCAAGAAGGCTGTTGCTGAAACAGGCAAGAGAGCTTTCTCACCCTGCTTCTCAAAAACTATGATCTGTGACATTAATTTGGTATATTAATGTGGGTAAATTTAATTTGGTGTCACTTCAGCTGCTGGAGACATTACAATATGTCCTTTGTAGAGATTAGTATTTCAGTTTTTATCCACATAACCGTGCTAACCAAATACTGATGTGGGACTGAGACAGCAGGTAGGTTTGCTGATATTAAAATACTGGTTGTTGAAGTCTTGTTTATTTCGATTTGTATGTTTCCCCAGATTAGGGAGGAAGTGAATGTCTAGTGCCATGCTTTATTTTCAAATGTTATTGATACAATTCTACTTTCTTGGAAATAGATTTTACATTTCTTCATCTGTATCTTAGCTGGGTAAGCAGAAGTTCCCATCTCAAAACCACAACTTTTTTTCCTGACATTTGTTACTAAACACTGGTCAAAATTCCTTTCTAAAAAGTTAGAAAGTCTTCCTGCCACATCATCATGGTTGAACTCTGTATTATGTGAGCTGATATAACTACAGTTGGTTTCTTCTGTTAGAATATATTCAAAGATAAACAAAACTGTTGTACAGACACTATAAGAGCTACATAGAGATGCTGCAGCTTATATGGACTTTGGAAGCCTTTTT